GTCTCTGCTTCTACGGCTGCAGCGTCCTTTTCGGCCGGCTTGACATACCACTCCCGAAAATCTCGGGCATCCTAGTCTTGATAAATGCTTGATCGGACGGCTTAGCATGGTTTGCCTTTGCCTTCCGACGCGGTGATCGGATGGTCGAGGAACGGCGATCAGTGAAGAAGCGCGCCCTGATCCCTGAGTCTATCCATCCTATCCATCTATCCATGTCGATCGATCAGGAAGTCTCTTTTAGCTGCACAGAGAGCGGACGAGAGAGCACAGCACCAACTTTGGCATGAGCGGTCTTTCCAGCGCCAAACCGTACTAAGAAAGGTGTAAGAAAGTCCAAACTGCTTGATTGCATATACGATATATGCTTTAATATACGTACACGGTCAATGATGCTTCGTGTTCGCTTCCGTAGCAGTGAAGTCAATGCAGCTTCTGAACTGCATTTTCGTTCATGCAGCTTAATGAAGAAAAGTCCAACAAGCGTTCGAAACCTTCCAACATGGACGAGCATGCACGTCTTCATAGTTTACGAGTACTATGATGCATGAAAGGACGAAGGAAGTGAGCCCTCAAAATGGATTCATTGAATGATCTCAGGAAGTCGAGCTGTCGAGCCGCTAGTCATACATACAGCTCGGCGGATCGACTTGCATAACTTGCATGGCCGTTTTGCAGATCGCAGGCAAAACGCTATCTCGTGGCGTGTGTCTTTCAGCCGATGCAGAAGATTGATACTCCGACTCGGCTGCAATATCTCAATATGATAACAAAAGCTTTAGCATCTTCTCGAGCTCAAGCAGTGGGTTCCCTACTAGTCCACTGTTCGAATCAAGATTATGCGATAAGTACTTAGCTTATCTGGCTTGTCCATTCGATTATCAGACACGTTACTCTTCAAGCAATCTTGGGGCAATTTAAATCTCATGTGCTTGTTGTGTGCTTGTTATACGAATTGGGATAGAGGGGCGACAAGGTAATCACCGCACTACGTCTTGTCGGATGCCAGTTCCCGAGCGCAGATTTGCAACCTACAGTCTTGGCTGCAAAGTGTGGCATGCTAACTTCACCATCAGAAGTGTGGCCTCAAGATGCCGCTCTCGGTCCTTGGCACGTCCTTGGGCTGGCAAGACAGCTTGACTCACGTGAGTGTTGACTATGACATCGTGCGTTGGCATGAGCACCGACGTGCCTCTGTACGTTCACGTGTTGACGTGCTGATACTTAGACCTGCATAAGTCAGGAGTACATCGCATGTACAGATTTAGCTCTCAGCAGAAGCTCCTCCCATATATACTGATGTCAAGCCTAGAAGAATAAAGTTTTGCTCAAAAAAGAATGATTGATTCTTTGTGAATCAAAGAAGCCCGTAATCATGATGCATCTCAGGCAGCAATGCTTGGGAACATAGACATCCAACGAACAAGCGTCTCGTGAGAGACTTCAAATATCTATTATGAGCTCAAGTCGCTTGACGAGAAAGCCTCCTCGCTCAACGAGGGCCTACTAGAAATGAAGACTCGAAGACTTTCCCTGCTCCAAGAATTCCTCCCCATCTCAAAGTAGCTTGCAGCACTCCTTCTTGAGTGCTTTCACTTCGAACGGTTCAGAATAGTACTTTTTATCAGAGGCCGATCCTGCAAGCCTATCCGCGAGGCTCTCAACCGCACAAGGAGGCTGACAGATTGGCATGTCGTTCAAGTGTGCAGAAGGATCCTGAATCAATTGTGGCATTCTTACGGCAACGATCGTCTCAAGAGGGAAGAACCAAAGATCCATAAATGTTCAAGTGCATTGATAGCAACGTAGTGTCACTTTTGCTCCGTGAAGATTTACTTCTTCTGCAGAGCATTCGGCGGGATCACTCGAAAAGCTTGTCCATCTCACAAGGAAAAAAGGGCTTATATCTTGGGGCCAGGATCCGGCCCGTTCAGTTCCAAGGTCCGACAGTTCTTGCAGGTCATCGGGGTTGGAACTCAATTGTGCAACTGAGCAACATAAGCAGCGCTACCCGATTGTCTACGTGCATGCGCGTGCGCCCAGCAGGAAGCTGGAGCTCAGGAACAGCAATTGGAGCATTGACTGCAAATCACTGCCAGGATGAGAGGGCCAACGGGTTGTAATCGAGGACTTTGCGCGAAGAGTCCTATAAAATTCGCTGTATACGTACGCGCTTTCTAAGAATCTCAAGCTACTCACCTTGTAGCCCCTTCGACAATATCAGTGTTCTTTAAATATCCTCAGGAGGAATTCTCGATGCTTGCAGTGTTCTTCGTATCAATACACACCGATACCTGCTTTTCGTAGCACTTATGTCGATAATTGCCTTGCTTCGCAATCAGCCTGGCTACTGATCTAGATCTGAGTTCCCCACGGCATCCAATCTCGTTTTCTGGTTTCAATTCCGGCGTCACAACATGCGAGAACGCGCTTGCAGGCACCTCTTGAAGATTCTCAATTCGTGGCAAGAGGCTTCCACTAGCATTGATTGTTCCTCCTCGGAGCGCTTCTTCTGTCTGAAACTTGAACCCTCGGAAGATAGTCTGTAGGGCGCTGTGAGATATCTGGCGCCTAATAATCTGAAGAGGAAAGAAAAGCGACTTAAAAGTTTGAGCTGGTTGCTCACCATGTCCATCTGTCCATGTGGCTGGCTGCTGGGCATAGTTGATGATTTCAACATGCCCGTTCCTGAGACATCATGCTCAGCACCAAGCAACTCTGAACAGTACGTGACTGGCTTTTCCATCTTGTGAACTGAAGGTCAAGAGGTGTCCTGGAACGTGGTTCCAAAGCAGATTCGAAGAGCTCATGCAGATTACATCGGCTTTTACGGAGCCCTTACGGAGCGCCTGAAGTCGCTGTTGAGGCCAGGCATCGGCCATTTGGTCTCGAAAAACGATATCGTGGCTTAGAGCTTATTTCGATCTTGAAGAAGTCAGTGACGAAGCTAGGCACTTGCCCACAGCGGTGAGCTTGGAAAGCTTGACGTCCACTGGAATAGATGGCGGCCGGCCGGAATACTGCTCACGTTAGTCTCTTCCCAATCCGTAGCCAGCCAGAAGAATTCCAAGCATACGTACTGCTTAATCGACAGTGCCAGCGGATTTGCACATGAGACACTTATCACTACGTGGATTCACTGTGCTTGCTATGAGCATGTGTCTAGGACTATACTACAGGTTTCAAAGTGCATCATAATGATTCATAAGCTGATGCTGCCAGGTTGGCAAGGGATTGACGGTTCTCTGCACAGCTGCTCTAGTTGAGCGGCTGCTTTATCAAATGTGCATGCATGACCAGAGTCAGGATCCGACTCGGCGAGGGGATGAAGATGCGGCGCATTCTCGTGACTCAGTTTGATTGTTGGGTTTTAGGTGGCACATGGCATTATAAGCGGTGTGTGCTGCCAGAACGGTGCAGCAAATGATGCAATCATTCCACGTCACTTAACCTCAATCAACATGCACGTCAAGTGAAGATGCTGCGCATTAAGCAATATCTCGATTCTTGACACATACATCCCTGCAAACGAATCGCAACATGCTAGGATACGAGCCAGAGCTGATACTCAAGAAAAAGTGATGAAGACTTTGTTGACTGCAATTGATCATCAACAATCAATCAAGCGAAGGAGCCGCAAAAAATGTTGGCAGAATTTTCACAAGTCAGCGCCGCCGTTCTGACCGAGCCACCTATGCTAAACAATCCGTCATTATCAAATGACGAGTTCCCAGCTTCGACTGTTGCCAATTGTCCAGGGAAGAACATCTTTTTAGAGGGGTTTCGAGCAAGCTCTATTTCTGAAATGTCTCAGTTGAACATTTGAGCCGCAGCCCACTTCTCGGCTATACACCTGATACTACACTTTGACTCAGATAAGGTGCTTCAAGCTGGAGGTCATTGCCATGGCTCATCAAACGGATTTGAACTCGTCCGCGCTGGAGTCACTTTTGCAGCCCTCTCGTTCGCCCGTTCATACGACGACTTGTTTAGGTACCCCGGCAAGAATACCTTGTAGCGTTCCGGCTCCCGGTGCCCGTATCCATACGTATCGTCCTCGGACGAGTCAAAAGGCCCCCTGGGTTTCGACTTCATGGCTGCTGCCGATGCAGCCCGCTTCTCCTCTTCCCTTGTCTTGAACGAATTGGTCTTCGAATGCTCCCAGATATCCGCACTTCCTCCATAGCTATCATACCGCACCTCCTCGAGCGGCGCCCTTGTTCTCGCTCCGTTGCGGCTCCGGTCTTCTAGCGGTTTCGCAGCATGCTGCTCCGCATGTTCCCACATGGACTCGTCTGGGAGCGCCGCGGATTCAGAATCCTTGCTGGACTTTTTCCCCGTCACCACCTTGGCGACCTGCTTGCTGCCTTTGACGGTCGCTGACTTCACACCATTGAATGCGGAAGACGCTTTCTGGCCAATCTGGTACCTGTTTAGCACAAGAGGTGAAGTGAGCTACAGTGCCACAACTGCTTTCTCCAGTTTGACCGTTTGTGATATACTTTTGAGTTCAGTCAAAAAGACATTGGGTCTCATATTGTAAGTCTGTAGCAGCGTTTGTGCACAGGTGTCAAGCACAGTTGCGGTTGATATTCAGACCGAAAATAGCAGTCATCAACCTGGCAGACCGAAAATAGCAGAGTCATCAACCTGGCCGCCCATTGGATTTGGACTCTCAGCAACCAAATGCACTAAGAGAAAGCCCACTTGCAGCGACCAAACGCACCGAGAAGAAGCCCACAAAGAGAGGAGACACAAACCAGACCCAATCAAACCCATGCCCATTGGGCTTCTGGACTTTCAAAGAAACCAAAATACCAAGAAGAATCCTAAGAAAGAGATACACGTGTAAAGGCAGTCAGCAATTGCTACCTCTGACATGAGTACCCTTACAAGTATCATTGTCTTCAAAAGTCAACAAGAGCTCAGACATCCATAAACCAGCACCTAAAGCTTGAGATTGAGCTGTCTAGCAGAGTGTGAACTGTCATAGCGCATTATGCTCTTCGCGGGCAACCACAGCATTGAACAGAGTTAGACACAAGCTACATATGGAAGCAAATCCAGGATTGAGGTACAGGGAATTGAACCAGAATACAATGCAGTAGCGTGCCAGAGACTGCCCTGGTTTCGAGCATGCATCTAAGATAATAAGAGGAGCTGAAGCCCATCACCAGATCTGCAGCAGAGGTGATAGGATGTATACTGTTTTGGCAGCATGCAGCCTGCACAACCATCCTTCAGTTTCAGAAAGCTTACTTTGAGTTGAACTCGTCGAGCTTGCCCATCACATTGCCAAATGCCATTTTGCCTCCCAGCCGCCGGCCCTCCAAGAGCAGTCTTCTACTCAATCAACCACAGGACGTACTTTCTTGGATCAGATCTCACTTGCTTCTGAGGACCCACAGTTCAGAGCCCGATACGAACGGTCAGCTCAAAGGAGCGTTCCGCAAAAGAATCTACTCGAGGGGTATTCCAGGGGAACCACAAAAACTGCAGGTTGGCAAATGCCCCTCCCCCTCCGCTGTTTGCGCCTTGGGAAATTTAAGAAGTCGTCAGGTCTGTCCAGGATTGAGTCCAGAAACTATAAGTTTGAGGTCAGCAGGCAGCCATTTACAGCTTGCTGGCGCGCAGCATTGGAACTTGGCAGCTCCTTGCATGCAGGCGCGGCTGCCACCGTGCAACTTCCCAACCGGTATGACGTCAGCAATTTGCCCGGGGATGAAACTTCCGAGCCTGTCATTCCCAGGGTTGCTTTTCCTCGGGTCCCAGCCCCGAGGCCCCGCAATCACCAGTCAAGGCTTAGGATGAGATGGGGACTATAATCGGGGCGCTCTCCTGGGTAGAGCGACCAGAACGTTCGAGCGCCGGTGGTAAGAGTTTGACTGGCCGAAAATATGTCCGTTGACTCGCGAGGCTTCAGCGGCGACATGTGCCACCCGTAATTGGAAAGTAAGTAGCCGCTGTAGCGGCAACCCTGGTGGCTTCATCGACGGCTATCAAGGCCCGATTGTGGAACTTCGGAACGACGGACGGTGGCAAAGCGGGGCGGCGGGAACTCCTTCCAAGAAAGGATCGTGAGCCTGAAGATGAATACACCCGGGTCAATAAGTTTTGTACCTGAGGTTTTTCACGATTGCAAGTAGGATACCTTTTAGAGTGGCGCTT